CACACCCAAATCTTTCAAAACGATTCTCTAATTTCTTTCAATGATGATGAATCCAAGCTACAATCAAACAATTCACTTTTATGCTTCACCTTTTTCTTTTTCTACGTTTCTTTCTACCAAAAAGTGCTTCTTCTAAAATCATTTCTTCATGCATAATAATAATGTAAAATTAAACAAATCAAAGTTAATTAAACATTCTCCAAAAAAGACCCATGATTTATAATTACTTTTGTTACACGACAGTTAAAAATAGAGAAGAGAGAAGATGGTCGTGTATGCAAGTAGAATTTTTTTATTGTTTTTAAATAGAAATTAAAAGCCAACTCATGTAGGTTTAGGCCCAAGCGTGGATTAATGTCATATTTGTCCTGCTACGAAGATATATGAAATTACTCAATTGTTGTCTATAAACGTAGTATCAACACTTAAAACTAACTTTATTTTATTGATAGAATTATTTTTGACGTTGAGAAAACATAGCTAGAACCACAAAAACATATATAGTTTGTTCGTAGAATTGTGAATGATTCTTTAAATACAAATAAAAGAAATATGGTTAATTATCTCAAGCAGATTTTGGTATAATATTCCCATGATTTTAAACTCTACTAAAAATTTCCCTCAGAAGAAAAAACTATACTAAAACCCCCAATATTTACAATATTTTTCTCATAAAATAGAATCTTCCACATTTGAGCCCATATGAGACCATATTTTAATCCCAATAAAAACCGCAAGCCAATTTAAATTTATTTGGTTCAATTTGATCGGGACAAGTTAACCTTTTAATCCATCTTCAGATTTAGAATAATGTATTTACTTCATAATTAGTCAATTTAAAATTAAAAAGAAACAAACGTGACACACAATTTGTAAAAGATCATAAAGTTTTTTATAATTTTGTTTGCAATAATACCCTTTTCCAAATAAAATGAGTACTTTCTTTTTCTCAGGACCAAATCCTGTTTTATATGCTAATTATTAATTATGGAGGATTTATATATATGAAATAGAAAAAAAGTGTTAAATACTATATGTACATCATTGATCTAGTCAATAATTAATTTCATGTATATGGTATAAAAGATAGAATAATGATGATTAGTTTTTCAATTTTATTGTAAGTTTGTTGGGTTGAGATCAAAAGATTAATTATTTCTATTTCCATATTTATATGCTTATCAAATAAGATTTATATCACATATAAGAAGAAATGGGTAGATGCACATGCTTGATATTTCTTAGCTTATTTCCAAAAATATAACCCCAAGTCATCATTGTCTATTATATTTTCTAGGGGTGTAATAATTTTGGGTCGGGTCAGTTTCCTCAAGAAATCGAACCGGCCCGAACTCAAGTCGGTTCGGTTCGGGTTGTTGTTGGGTCGGATCGGGTCAACTTTGTTTTTTTTTCTCTCTCTCCCTCTTCTTCTTCTTCTCCTTCCTTTTCATGGGTTGTTCAGTCTTCTCCATCTCTGAAATCTCACTTAAAATAAAAATCCACCATAAAATTTAAAGAAACCTACAAAATTAGTGTAATTTGATTTTGAACCCACTTTAATCTAAACAAATCTTGATTTGATTTTGAAACCCACTTCAATTTTTTACTTTCTTTAGATCTTAGAAAGCCCAAAAAACCTACTTCAAATCTTCTTCTTCTTCATATCTTCTTTCCATAGAAACACACAAAAATCAAATCTTCTTCTTCATATCTTCTTTCCATGAAAACCCACAAAAATCAAATCTTCTTTCCATGAAATCCACTACAGATCTTAGTCTTCAAAACCGACCTCCATGAAAATCCAAAAAATCCACTTAGAATCTTCTTCATCGAAAGCGACCTCCATGAAAATTCACTTCAGAATCAGAACCATCTCGTCGTTACTCCACCTGAATCAATTAGCTCGTCGGCGCGTAGGGAGGTCGTTGCACCGTCGCCGTCACGCATCTCCTTTTGTCACCGCCGCAGATCCTTTGTCGCTACATTCGTGGATATTTTTCTTGCGGACGCATTTGGAGAGGAAGGGATGGGAGAAGCATTTGGGAGGGAGAAAGAGGGAGAAGCATTTGGGGAAGGGAGAGGGAGAGAGTAAACGGGGCAACATAGGGAGCAAATCTAGGATTATGTGTTTATAAAGGTCGGTTTGGTGTAACCGAACCGAACCGTCTTGATTTTTATTTTAACCGAACCGGATTCGGTTCGGTTCCAATACTTACACCCCTAATATTCTCTTTAGTACAACAACGATACGTAAGATCATTTGATCAGTATACATAATCAATTCATCTATTACTTCCTTCATATGAGGTGGATTCCTCAATGTTTGCGTATGCGTCTGTCGATGCGTCTTCAAATTCAACTTTAACTGAGACTTCTGTTTCTCTAGTGGTAGCAGCTTCTTCAGATGTCGAATGAGAAGAAGAATAATCTGATTCTGAAGAATAATTCAATTCGGTATCTTCAAGAATGGAGAGTATTCCTATTACAAAATACTCGTGAAAAAATAACTATAATAAATGAATAGAAGAGGCATCTTTTACAAGTTGGTAATTATTGTTTATCGTTATGTACTCTTTGAGATGTTCTTGAATTATTTTAAACCAAAAAACAAAATTATTGGCATAGAAAAAACTTTAACATCTACAATGTTGCATAATATATTTTGCAGTAAAAATTAAGGATAAATATAAATTACATTTATGTACTAATAAATCCAACTTCCGTTGTTTGATTTAGTTACTTGTTTGTATATATTTATATGGCATGATAAATATTAATTAGATTTTCTTTTTTCAAATTCTCAGAATCTTTGATTTTTTTCTTTCACCAATATATATTTCTTAACCAATTGAGTTAAGCCAATAAACATAATTGTCAAAACGAACATAGCTCAGCAGTAATTGACATATACCTCCAATCATGAGGTTACGAGTTCAAATACATATGAGTAGTAACTCATACTATCATTGATGAAGGATGAATCATAACAAAAGACACATCATCATCGAGCTTTCGAAATGCTAACTTCTCCTATTGTAGGATCAGTCTTTCAAGTGTTCTAAGAGACCTTAATGTTTCAGCTAGCAATTATAAATAGTTTATTTTATATAAATTAGAGAGTTCGAAATGATAATAGCTTAAAAATGATTGTTTAGTATTATTTATATTTTCAAAAAACGTTTTCTAAGTTTTTCTTTTATTACTATTATTTAGAATGTCTTGTTTTCAGAAAAATGTCAAACAAGCTTTGTGAGGTGGGAAAGTTTGTCTTCTACATTTCTAACTTAGAAAGTATTTCTTTCCAAAATTAAATTCATGATAAGCCGACCCAAAAAACTTTAAAGATAAAAAGAGAGAGTTGCTTCTGAAAAAGGAAAAAATAAAAAGGCAAAACATCAAGATCAAGATCTATATGCTATGCTCGACTAATATTTTTTAATATAAGTTCAACACAACACATAGAAAATCATTCATCTCACATGTGACATTATTGTACCTATCAAGCTATATATTACAATGTATTTGGTACAAAATAAATCATCAAAAAATATATATATATATATATATATATATCGTCATTATGTATATATAATGTAAACTTTGTGCGCTCAATAGTTAACTAGTTATATGATTAAAAATACAAATGTTCATCTTTTTTACTTGAATAAAATCCTTAACGCTATATGATTAAAAATACAAATGTTCATCTTTTTTACTTGAGTAAAATCCTTAACGTGAATGATAAAAATTTTAACTTTCAAACAAAATAGGGATAGTTTTTTAGAAATGACACAAAACATATATTTAGTGGAAAAAAAAAAGTATCGGCGTGAATATAGCTGAATGATTAAGTCGGATATTTGACATTCCATATTCCCACGATTGTTGTACTAAAAAATTAAAATAAAAATAATAAAAATAACATATGCCTTTTTACCTAGTTTTATCTCCCCACTAGTTTATTATTATTACTATTTGTTTTTTTTTGAGTACCTGCATAGTTGATTATATATGTATATGTATATACGTGTATATGTATGTATGTGTATATATATCTATATACCCTCACGCCTTTAATTACTTTTGGTATCACTCAAAAGGCCCCAAACCAATTGAAATAATTCTCCTCTCTATATACCTATGATCATTTTCTATCCTAATCAATGTGAGGCTTTATTTGCATAGTTAATGTGGAACTTTATTTGCATGAATAACCTTACAAACTCAACAAATATATAAAACCAAATTGATCTCTAGTTATAAGTTACTCAAATATTAGAATATTTGACCCAACCAAATCAGGTAAAAGTTTAATCAAAATCTACTTGACGACTTAAAATATCATCCATAGTTCAAAGTTTTTACCACTATTTTAATTTTTTTAAAATTTTTTATCCTATTTTAACATATTAAACTTCTACGAGTGCGTTGATAAGCAAATTCTTATAAGATTATCCACTAATAGATATATAAATTACAAATTTACATATAGTTTCAATTTTAGTTCTTATAATTTTAAAAAATTTCAATATTTAGTTCTTTTGATTTAATCAACCTCCTAAAACATTCTCATCATTACCATATTAAAACTTGTTATTGGACATTAAATGTTGTTACCTCCTAATATCCCATTTGATCATATTCAAAGTTTGATATATCTAACGGTGTCACCCAATTATCCTCCACAATGTCGTTCCTCCCTCCTCCAATAATTTCTCGATCACATGGTATATTATATTTAGGAAGTGAGCTAATCAAACGGCTGGAAATAAATCCCATGAGAGGAAAAAAAAACCCTTTAAAAAAAATTAAAAAAAAAAAAAACAAGAGTCCTCCATCCAACTTATTATGTCGGTCCTTAATAGCGTCTTAGGGAGCAACCATACCCCACATTTTGCCTCTCATCTCCAAGACCACTAACCCCTTATTTCATCTGTCATTGTTCCCCACTCCTCTTTTCAATCTATATATCTCTCTTTCAATTCCCAATCCCTTTTCATTTTTCCATACCCCTCCAACCCCTTTCTTTCAACAAATACAATGGCAAAAGATCAAGCCCTCGGACTCGAGATCACCGAGCTTCGTCTCGGCCTCGGTCTCCCCAGCAACAGCGACAAGAACGAGAAGAAACGAGCCTACGCCGATATCGTCGAGGGGAAAAATAATAACACGAGTAAGGGCCACGTCGTCGGGTGGCCACCGGTGCGTTCGTATCGGAAAAAGAATAGCTTTGGAAATAAGGAGTTGAACGAGAACGAGAACGAGAACTCGAAAATGTACGTGAAGATTAGCATGGATGGAGCTCCATTTCTTCGTAAGCTTGACTTGGGTTCCCATAAAGGATACCCGGATCTTGCCCTCGCTCTTGAGAAGCTTTTTGCTTGCTTTGGAGCTGGTAAATTTTTAATCCTTTGTTTTTTTCTTTTTTTCCCTCTCTCTATTTTTTAGGGTTTAGATACTAATTATATATTATTGTTGCATGGTAAAATAATAAGAGATTAATTGTCATTTAATTAGAAGCACTTTTCGAAGAATTTGATGTCTAAAGAATATGTCTGAGAGTAAGAGCTAGAGTCGTGGTTTTCAAGAATCCAATTTTTACTTTTGAAATTAGGTTTTTTTTTTTTTTAGTAGAGGTAATAAAATGAATTGTAAATCTTCTAGAAGTAATATTTCTGGCTGATTTATTTAATCTCTTATAGTGTAATGTGAAATAAATGAAATTTCTATAAAAAGAACAAACTTTTACTATTTTATTTTTTTTAGATATAATCCTTCCATTTTAGAAAGTTAAGAGAATAAATTAGCGAAAAAAAAAATTAAATTTTTAATTTAAGATAAGTTCGAAGACAAAAAAAGTAGACCCTTTTCTTCTCGGCTCTGCCTAGAGCTATGATATAAAACGAAATATTTGGAATTCAATATAGTGAAATTTTATATCTAGAATTAATGAGATAGAAAAATTGAAAAATTAAGTAGAGTAAAAAAAGTATAATGTATTGTAATAAGGCTTTAAATACTACTTTGGTTTCTGCCTTTCAATTTTGGTTTATTTTGCTTATTAACTTTTAAAACGTCGAACAACTTTTGTTTCCGTATTTTTAAAATATTCATTTTGGTATCACAATTTTAGACATAACACTTCAACTCACTGAATTTCTTGAAATGTAGTGATAAATTTTTATTAAAAGGTTTCTATTGCATATAATATTTCTATTAAAACCTTACAAGTAGATATCGATCAAAATATTCACTTTAGAGACTAAAAGAGACGTTTTAAAAGTATGAGGACTAAAATAAACAAAATAAAAAATATAACGATCAAAATAGACGTTTCAAAAGTATATAGATCAAAATAGTATTAAAATCTATAACTAGTGGTATATTTTTAAAAAAATAAAAAATATGTATATGGAAGAATAATGACAAAGTAGTGGCATATTTGTAAAATGACAGGGAAGACATTAAAGCATGGAGAAAGTTCTGATTACGTTCCCATTTATGAGGACAAAGATGGGGACTGGATGCTTGTGGGAGACGTTCCTTGGGAGTAAGTTTTATTTCTCTCTTTTTCTTTTTTTTCCTTTCTCTCTCTCAATTTTTTCTTTTTTCCTTTTTACCAAACTCCATGTTAATTTCATATTATATATATATATATATATATATGTTACAAAATAAATAAAAAATTAGAGTTATGCACTTAGCTCTTATAACATAAATTACCATGTATCTTTATACTTATTTTGCTCAATTTTGTGCCTATATTGTTTAACTCTAAACATATGAGGACTAAATTGTAAAAATAAAATGTATGAAAATTAAACATCATAAAAATTAAAATATAAGAGTTTTAAAGTTTATTTTAATTTAAATCTCATTTTGTCCCTCGAGGTTATTATTTGTTTTTTTTACGTTTTTTTATCAATTTTTTATTCTTGTCTCATAAACTTATGTTGTAACCAGTTAGATCATACAACATCCTCCTATTCTCAAACTGGGCATTGGGCCATGTGTATTTAGCTTGAAATTGAAGTCCATAACTTTTTTTTTAAGTTCAACCGGTAGATTTAAATTTAATTATCTACAATATATGTTAAGTTGAATTATTTTCAGGTTAATAAATTAAAACTCATATGGCACTATATATATATAATATATATATAGATTTATATATCGAATTCAATACGTAAATTTAATTAAAGTACCAAAGTAAAATATGGACGACCAATCTAATAGTAGTTAAATTAGTTAATGCAAATTTTCTTCGAGTAAATTTTTAGATTCAAATTCCCAAAAAATAGTAGAATCAAAATAGAATCTTTGAGAGAAAAAAAATTCAAAATCAAAATAGAATATTTGTAAAATAGAAAAATGATTTATTTATTTTGTTTTATAATACCGTTGATAACGGTGCTTAAAATTCAAGTCTCATATTATCAAGGTGTATTTGATTTGACAAATACCAATTGCAATTAAGAATTCAAATTTAACAAATTATTGATAAGAGAGAGTGGGCAAAATGGTCTTTTCAGATCTCCCATCCCACTCATTAACGCGGCAACATGATGCCGACACGAACCAAACCTTAATAAAAGTGTCAGCCAGATTACAAAGCTGTCCCTCAATTTAATTCTCCTTGCCCCCCTCCCCCGACACATCCCATGCCTAATTTTAAAAAATAATAATAATCTAATTTAATATTTTAAATAATTATTCTCTAATTACAATTATAAAACTTTTACAGGATGTTTATTGAATCGTGCAAGAGGCTGAGGATAATGAAGAGATCGGAGGTCAGAGGGTTCGGCCTGCCATTCAAAGATTTATGAGGAGAAACAAGATGATGCTATTTTACTAGAGAAAGATTTATTTCGATTAATTTTTAAATTTTGTAATATTTTGGTTAATTGTTATGACTTCATTTTGTTTAAAAATAGACATAAAAGTAATTCACATAATTAATATTAATTAATAATAGGACCTCTCTATTAATTGTTTGTTAATTGTCAATGTCACATTGGTGTGATTTAATTTATTTTAGGAGGGACATACATGATCTCTATAGATTATAGTAATATATGAAGTTTACTTAATATGGATACATTAGTTTTGTTTTGGCATTCATTTTTCATTTTGACATATGGTTTGTTTGAGTTATTTTAATGAAATATTTTGTTTTTATCTAATTATTGTTTTGACTTTCTTTTTATAAAATAACTACATTTCTATTTGCGTAATTCCTATAAATAAATATTGTTAATTCCTATAAATGTTTTAGAAAGAAGTTAGAGAATTGGATACAAACTCTGGAAAGGAATATAAATTTATGAGGAAGGTAGAGAGCGAAAAGACAAATAAAATGAGGTGAAGGATACAATTTTAATGAAATAGAAGGTTATTTTTTGTATTCAAAATATAATTTATCCATTTTTTTAGGATCACCCCTTATTTGTTATCAATTTAATCTGACTGAATCTTTTTTTCCAAAATCATTTCATTTTTCGTAAATATTTATAAAATCATAAATAAATTTAAATAGGAGTTCAAAATAATAATTTATAAGAGATGAGGACCAAAAACTAAGAGGAAAAATTTAGAGAACAAGAAACGAAGAGAAAAAGGTTTGAGAGTACAAAGATTTTAGAGGAAAATAAACCAGAGGGGGACAAAGTTTAGAGAAATTGAATTTAACCCAAAATATATGTCGTCTACAAAAAAATTGCAGTACCACAATAGTATATGAATATTACTCCCAACTAGGAAGAAATTATCGACAATTTAAGTAAGAGCTCATATATATATTTTAAAGTACAACATGTGGGGTGGAAATTCAAACTCTCGACTTCTAGATTGAATACATGTGTCTTACCCCGCTGAGCTATGTTCTGGTTGGCTTATTCTCCAATTTAGTTCGTGTTTAATGATTCAACTATATTAGTGAAATCCACTCATATATTAAATACAACGTAGATAAATACAAAGGAAGGAATAAGTAATAGCTCTTACTTAGGCAGGTAAGTGCTGTTCATAAAAGAATTCACTATTGAACATATGTACTATATAGGGTGTAAAAGGTGGTCAAAAAGAGCATATGAAAGCTGTGGAAAGCACCTTTTTATGTTCATGTCTCCACCTAATAACCAAGAATTGGGTTCCTTTGCTCATCAATTTCAACCACAAGCAGGCGCTTTGGATCTGATCCACTTGGCCCTTCTGAGTACAGCGTGGGAAGATAAGCCCTATACGCCGGTAGATAACGTGAAACAAAATCTCTAACCTGAAAAGCACCACAACTTTGTCACAAACGTGTTAACTATTGCAACTTTGGAACTCTGTTTCGTTTCGTTTTGTTTACCTCTTCGTCGCTCATCCCGGGTTTTCCTGCTTCCCTCATTGCAATCTCTGCCTGCAAATTCCCATCAGATGAAAGTCTTTTTTTAAGGCTTCTGAAACCCTGGTGGATTGGATTGTATGATCATGTTAATTCAGCCTACCTGCAGACGCCAATGGTAAACGCAACTGGGGTCGTTTATCTTGATCACGATCCACGCCTTTATGAACTTATCCCACGCATCATAGTACGCTTTCATGTTGTTGTTAACTGTCTCAAGCTGTACAATTTGAAGCTTTATTTGAGTGATATTGTTTTTCTTTTCTACTGTGTGGGGTTGAAGAGGTACAGTGTTTGATGAGTATGGAAAAGATGTGGTTGAGATAGAACTGATGTTAGATGATAGACACAGGAGAATCAGCTTGAACTTCTAACCTGTGGATCAACTACTGTGACAGCTTCCGTTGGGAGCGGTTTGAAGCCGAGCATCCAACCTTCGAACAGGACGACCTACAGGTAACCAAATCCAAGTTTACGTAGCTATGCGGGATAAATTAGTTTTCTTCTTAAGTTAAAATTTACTTACGGTCAATGGCCCTTCAACCTCTGGCCAAGTAGAAGGATCAGCTCTGTCACCTCTTCCATTGAATGCAGACTGGATAGAACAGAGTTGAGGGGATTGAAAATCATACGTGGCTGGAATTGGATATAAGCAAACTAAGATGATGGCAATTTGGACTTACTTTATCATATCTTGGGATCTTCATCTTCAAACCTTCATCTTACAAGAGAAATCTATGAGTAAAATATCAAAACAGGGAAAACGAAAGCAAAGGAAGTGAAGGAGAAGCTGACCTTCCTTGGTCAACTTGGATAGAGCTGTGAGTGTTTCAACCGACAGTCCAAGATCGTGACTTCCAGCATTTCCACGAAACTAAAGTTAGAAGGAAAATAATTAACAGAAGAAATATGGAGAACTACAGCTTGCTTCCTTATTCTACAATGTAAAAGAATGAGAGACCGCAAATAGTTACCTCCAGAAGCGCATTGCCAGGATTGCTTTCCCTCAGTTGTGCCTACCATTTCACACTTAATTATTTATAATACTTTCAACAGAAAGAAAATGAGAAAAATGGCAAAGATAGCTAACCTGCCCTTCAGCTGTCAGGTAGAAGTCGTCGATGGATAACATAGCAGACTTCCTGAGATAGAACTTCAGTCAGAAATTTTCCATTCTTTATACTCTTATCACTGCTGCAGCAAATTGTCAGCTCTCGTTTTCGTATATTTATTAGCATCACAGCCTACCTGCCTGTTACTTCGAAAAGATAATTGAGAGCATACACGAGAGTCGTCTTTCCACAACCTTGTGGAGCACTAAATCCTATCTGCACAATAAAGTGATTTGAAGACAAATAGTCAGGGAGTAACCGGTTTTTACTTTTAAGGCTTGATAGTACTAGCCAGCATAATCAGTATGCCTCGAGTATAAAATGTCCATGGAAGGACATAAAATAATAATTAAAAGTAGGTTCGAAATAAGAAGAACGAACATATGGAAATTCCAAAAGCTTACCACTAAGGGAGGTATTTCTTCTCCTTCTTTAAACATGGAATAGTGCTGAGATATTTGATCTTCACACCAAAGAAAAACAGGTATATAGTAATGATAAAATCTTGCTTTCTGAGGAATTGTGAGCTCCATTTCGTTAAACTTGAACAATCGACAAAGATAAGAGCCATAAGCTAACCATTTATCTATTGAGTCAACCACGTTTTGTGAGCTCAGACCCATCTTTTCTATCAGTGGACCTGAGCAAATAAAATCAAAAAGATCCTCCACAGTGGAAATTTCTGCCGGCTTTGTGGGTAATGCATAACAAATGGGGCCTCTATAACATCCATCAGAGGCAGCAACACTGTGACACAAGGAGTTATGTTGAATCCATGAACATCCATTGCCTAGAGTAAAATTCCAAAGGACACAAAAGGAAGAGATCAATGATTAAAGCAGTTTGCGGCTACATATTAAGAAGGCATTTCCATACTAAACAATATATAGTAGAACAGCATTGGCCATCAAACGATTGATTCTATAGCTTACTGAAACTACGTATAGAAGTTTCACAACTCATATTGAGAAGTTTATTGATAAAATACAAGAATCCTGAAGCACTATCTGATTTCACTACAAACTAGATATGATGCTTTATTTATCTGAAGTACAATATAAGAATGTCCCTTAGAAGGACGAAGCAATGTTTCAAGCACGAATAGATCAATCGAGAGAGAGTGTGCAATCTAGAGAAATGATTGTATCTCTTTTATGAAGACCCATCCATACCAATCCAACCATTTTGATACCCTTGGCCTTAAGTGATGAAGGACATATGTCTTTAACTACCCTTTTGAACTGAAATGATGACGAACAACCAAGAAACGTGAGGGGAAAAGAATGACCTTATAGGCTGAAAGTAACATTTCTAAAAATTACATATGTTAAATGTCACGCCTTTCCTTGGTCTTATAATCAAGGTACATCAGCATAGCTCAACTGGTCAAGACATTACATACCTCCTTAGGGTTGGAGTCCCCACCTCTTGTTGTACGACTCCAAAAAAAATAACACCAAGGTAGCACATTCTCAACCCACATTAAGGACTTGAACCTCACTTGACAACTAGCCCTTGAAGGCCCGCCCAAACCGAATTTTTCAACACCCCCAAATACAAGTGACGGAGCACATACGAAGATCTGGTAACTACCTCATGTACTTCAAACCAAAATGATGATATGCAACTACGATGAGAACTGAGAAAATATGGATAAATATATAATAATTTTGTAGCGAAAAAGTTGATTAGAGACATTACAGCCCACAGCCTATATAAGAGAGGCCCAAATCATCTTGGCCACTGACTCTAGGAAGGCTTGATCCAGCCTGACTTTACTTGGTTGCCACCTCTAAGTGCAAGGATACAATTGTAAAGTGATGAACAACATAGGCCGCCTCTAACTACCACAAATTTTGACCAAAAATGATAGTATACCACAGAGAAATGTGAGATCAAAGAAAAAGGAACGACTAAACCAAAACTTCCAAACACCAAGAATAAACAGAATTCATTGCTAAAAACAAATGATATTGCAAAATAAAACATATGTTTCACTACTTGCATCGTGAAACCAATTTTCCATGATTGAAGAACATATCACAATGTCCCTCCATAACGGCCCAAACTTCTAAAAAGATCCCCATCTGTTCCCCAAAAATTTCCAAGATGCGAAACAGAGAATATCGCACGAACAACCGCACAAAACCAAATATTAACAACATTCCATTGACGTTAACCCATATTTTGAAAATTTTATCTGGGTGTTCCAGATAGGAGATGGAAGAGAACAGAGCTGACGAATTGAAGACTTTTGACAAAACGAAAACAGAGGAAGTACACAATGGACATCATGGGGTAGCACAAAGACAGAAACGAAAAGGAAATTGTAATTGAAGAACATTTCATAATTATAATATCGCATAATTAAACACCGACGCTATTCAATCGAAAGCAAACTCGTAGAGCCGCAAATACCTGATTTAGAGAAATGGGTCGGCAGATAACAGAGCCTGGGAAGTGATTGGTTAGTTTTAGGCACAGAGCCATGATGGGAGTGAAGGGAGGAGGTGAATTTATAAAAACCGACGCCATTGCTGTTGGTACAGAAGAGAGTAGGGTTATTGTAGCAGCAAGAGGAAAAAGTTGAAGCCGGAATTAGCGGCTGAATCGCCATTCTTATCTCTGTGTCCCTGTGTGTGCTTTGCTTATCATTTTACAATTCTTCGTGGTTTTAGAGAGAGAGAGAGAGAAAGCTGTGCGGATATGAATTGAGGTGACCACGAGATGACAATCTCTTCCCCTTCTCTGAGAAAAATCTGTAAACTATTTTTCTTTTTTTCTTTCTTCTTTTTTCAAAGAACATATTCAAATCAAAACTATGCGGTGGTTGCTTTGTGCAGAATATATTAGATTTATAATATTCGCTGAATATATATTTTAGCCTTTTGAGTATTTTTTCAATGTCTTTATTATTTAAAGTTTTAATTTAGTCCTGAATTACCTATTTAGTTTTTTACTCCTGAAAATAGTTGAGGATAAATTTACCCTACATGTATATTCAGTGAATTGACAAATATTTAAAGAAGAAAAAATATTATGAAAGAGAAAGAAAACTTAAAATTTCTATCGATGTTTTGAAAATTTAGAGGAGAAATTATAAATTTTCATATCACAAAATATATTTTTACAATAATATTATATTGTTCATTTTGAATATTATTAATTTTCATCTAGTTGTTTTACTTTTAATTTCACCAAAAACTTAATATTAATGAGGTGTTATACCTCGTTTATATACTCAATGGCTTTTCTTTTATCTATATTATTTAATTGGTTTCTTGTTTCTACAACAACTAAAACAAGACAGGATAAAGAACTTTCAAAATAAATGAATAACATGGAATTGTCCCCCACCCCTATCGGAATTTCTCAACTTGTCTAAAATTTCCAAAATACAAATAGTACCACGTAATTCAAACATATGATATGATTTGTTGTCGCTTAAGAACTAATAGCTTGTAGTGTAAGCTATTCTATTAGAAGCCGAGTATTTGATGAAAAGAAAGATTAATTAATTATTGTATTTTCATTTTTCATCTAAGGTATAATATCAAGTTAAATCTCGTCTTCTAATCTACCTCCTAACATTTAGGAGGAATTTTGTCATTCATTGTTTCTTTTTTTTTATTTATTATCTAGTTTCAATCTACCCTCATATACCTAATTATAATCTATAAGTTCTACGACCTTGGCCTTCACTACACCCTCATTTATTCCATTCAAAAGACATCACTTCTTTTCAAATTGTTTCACAGTACTTATATGAGAATATTGTCACCTATGCACATGCACACAATATAAAGACACAAAATAAAAATAATAAATAGCTTAGATGGAATTAAATAAAACTATGATGGTCATCTACCTAAAATTTAATATATTTAATTGACAATAAAATGAAATAGTATCGTACTATGTCTTGTTTCAGTATTCATCACTATATTGTCAAAACGAGTATAGCTAAACTGTAATTGACATATATCTCAAACGAATAGGTTGTGAGTAGGGATGACAAAAATACATGCAGGACCCGATCCCAGCGGGTACCCAACCCGATCGGGTCGATGATTCCCCGGTTTAACCGAAGACGGAGTCAAACCGGAGATCTCGTCCCCAATCCCCAAAATTTTGGGGACGAGGGGGGGATGGGGATGACCCCCGGCCCCGGCCCGTTCCGTTTCTATCCTCAGTTGTAAGTTCAAATCACTATTTGAAAAAGTAATATCCGATGCTAAAGATTTTTTTTTTTTTCAAATAAGTGAGAGTCAGGTTGAGCACCATAAATATATTTTTGGACGTATGCGGTGGATATGAGACGCTTCCAATATCCAATGCTTTTATGGTCCCCTCCTCGTGCTTCCCCATGATAATAATGTCAAATATTATAAATTTAAATATATAATATATACAAGGAAAAGGAAGATAAGATAACAAGGCCTTTTTTTTCTTTACCCGTATTTATTTTAGTGAGTAAATTATAACTTTCTTTACAAAATCAAACTATTAATTTTTTAAAAAAAATTGCTGAAATCAATAATTCTTCTAAATTAAAGAAAATTAGTTGCCCATCAAGCATGAACGATTAGGAGTAGTGATGTGTATTTTTCCATCAGGATAGGCTTTGGGTAGACACTGGCCAAAAGAGGATAGGAAATTTCCGATTTTTTATAGTGAGGGATGGAAGAAATTTTTTCCTATTATGTAAATGTGGACAAGGTGAGAAATATTTTCTCCATTTTTTTTAATAAAAATATTTTCTCCATTTCCATTACCTGTTCACGCCGTTAAAAGTTAAACAACTAATTATAAATTTATTTAGAGAAAGCATTTAATTAAAAAATAAGAAATTTCAATGGAGAATTCAACCCCATAAGTTTTATGTGGGGAATCCCACTCCAGTCTACTGTTATTCCTACCAGTGAACTCCCTAATTAACAGTAATAAAACATTCGAAATTAAATCACATAAATACCCGAACTCAAATAAAAAGATATATATTTTTTTAAACTCAACCAAACCGAATAAAAAAGTATAGGTGGCTTGCTAAAATGTTGAAAAAATATCATATGATTATAAATTTTCTTAATTAAAATTATAGATGTCGTTTGAAGTAGTTGAATGAAAATTAATTTTAAAATATGAGTTCCAAATTGAATTATTACTCTTTGAATGCCTCACGTCTCCCCGTGAAAAAGTTCTTTTGAGCCCCTTCCTCCTCTCTCGGTTTGGGCCGCCGCCCAATTTTCTTACCTTTTTTCTCGCATACGATTGTCCCACTGTCCCACCATCTCCGATTCGCCAGTTTTTTCTTTTTTCCTTTTTTTTTTTCCGACCTAGCTTACCTTAAATTCCCTTTTGATCTTATCTACTTTCTTCTTCCTTCAATATAGAAATTGTCGAATTTCAACACCGATTCGGTTCGGTTCGATTTTTGGCCAAATTCAAATCTTCGATCGTGTAGGTTATATTATTGATTGAATCGGACAGGTTTGAATAATTTTGGTTGGACCGGTTTGGGTTATATGATATCGGTTAAGACTAAACCGACAGTGAAAAGGTTAAAATGGGCAGCGGTGAGAGAGCACATGTGACTAGAGAGACACGGGTAATTTGGGAAGAAATAAATAAACAAAGTAAATGTCAAAATATACTCTTAGATTCTTGTAATTACAACTTTAATTTTAATCATTCGTACTTGGTACTACTTTTAAAAGATTATCATTTTTATCTATATTTACAAAAGTTTGAAACGAATTATGTACCTAATGAAAAGTCGTTAGTAATATTTCAATAAATATATTAAATGTAGTGCCGTAAAAATTGAAAATTTATGGACCAAAACGAACCATTTAAAATTATAGAAATCAAAATAAACCTCTTAACCTAAAAAATAATTTAAAAAATAGTAAGTAATTTATCATTCTTAGAAATTAGTTTGCCGCAAGCAATAAAAATTGGGACATTTTTCATGGTCGACGGTGGATGTCTGATTAAATTTACTAATTTCGAGTAGCAATTCTTATTGGTCCGAAGGTTGACTTTATAAATATGGGGGTTCACTGTTAATGTAAGCCCAGGAATTTGTATTTTTTAGCCAAATAAAACTACGATTTAATAAAAAGAACCCAGATGTCATGCATGTAGGCTGCAAATAGAGACCGATCGTTTTTAGCCACAAAGGGAAGTTTCATCCCCAAGAATCGAATATCTCAAATGAACTGCCTCGCAAGCTAATCTTAGACGTTTTTTTGTAATTTAATAATGTTTTATAATTAAACATTTTATTTTCGTGAATTTTTTTTTTTAATATTCGTGAGTGTTTGGACTGACTTACGTGCAACTCGACTAATCTTATGGGACAAATGACCTTACAATATTTGGTGTCGGAAAATACATAGAAATTACTAATTTCTAAGGGAGGGGACCATCATGAGATTTGAACAAATTATCTCTTTATTTTCATGATATTAATTTGTAATAGTTGCAACGTTTATAAATTAATTGTATTCATTAATAACGTTTGGTCTCACTCATATATATAGGTATGCCAATTTGGAAGAAACAGATACAAAATTATGAAAAGTTTTTTCCACTTGTTTCTGTTGTTTTCTCTCTCGGTTCTTTACAAAATTATGAACTAGTTATTCGATTTTAATATGCTTCGACAAACGCACGCTCAAATTGTATGTTGTGTTAACCTTGGAGAGTAATCGACGTACATACGATTTGACACCATGGTTATGTCGAAATTACTTTCAAGATAGTTGTTTTACTGCAACACAACAACTGTTTCTCTTTCTTTATCTAAATCTTCCCTCGATTCTAACATGCATGCATGTGTATATATGAATTATACTATGAAAATAGTAGTCTTAATTATCTTCCTAATTAGTCCCAAATTTAATACTATGTCATTTTAAATTGGGGTTCATGTAGTAATTAACCACACATTTAAAATCATGCATGTTTAATCACGTTGGACTTCGTTGGTTGCTACTCCTACTTTTTACTGACTTATTATTTTATTTGCATTCATGCAAAATTCCAATAACACAAATATGTAGATATACATTTGCTTCGAACGGTCGTTACAATCTCCCATTTTAAATAAGGAAGATAGGATATATGGAATCTTTGTTCCCTGACTTTAGTTTTTCATTTATTGTCTTTCAATTGATTTATGCGATGCTTAAAAACAATGTTTCGTTATATATAATTTTCCTACTGGGAATTAACCTCGTGATTTTCCTCATGGAGAATCCTCTCGCACAAATTTAGGGATAGAGATGCATTCTCCATCCCTATGTTGCCTGATTAGCACTCTTAAACCCGAGTGATATCCATGTTCATTATTATATGTATGTTTAGTGGTAATAAGTTCTTTTTGGGGTGAAAATCGTACTAGCACGTGGAGAACAATGATTCGTCAAGAAATAGCATACAAGCTCTAGGCAGATCCACCTCGGACCTTCCGAGGTGGAAGACTTAGTCACTATTTTCTTCATTAACTGGTAATTCCTTAGTTAAACCGTCCAGGTTCGATCTGAGAGATCCAACAGATTTGACCCTTCACTTTGACCAAAGTAATCGCCTGTCGGAGCCTACATCTATAAATAGAGGGCCCCACTTCAATCTCAAGTATATCGAATTTCTCCTCAAACAACTATTGAGTTCGAGCTACTTACTGACTTGAGCATTAAAGATTTTGCACTCTTATGCATGTCTTTCAATTGTGCTCGAAATTTAAGCTTGGATCGAGTTCGACCTTGACAAGGTCAAACTTTGTGCAAATTCTTACATAAACAATTTCATTTGGGTACAACCCTGCTTGTTCACTAACTAGATACTCCTGAACAAATGAGTGATTATCTTGTTTACCATCGTATATGTTTAGTTACAATTGACGCTACTAGGTCAAACACTACTTGACTGACTGAGTATCACACCTAAATACAACTTGAGTTAAAATTTGACTTCTTGATCCATGAAGGCCAACAATTTTGGTTTCTTGTGACTTCAAACATGAATAAGATGCTATAATGATTAGTTGAGATGTATATTTGATCCGGCCGAAAACTACTCCACAATAAGCATCAATGACGAAATTGAATTATTTGTTGAAAATCTTAACAATCAAAATTATATTTTTAAAATTTACCAAAATAGAAAATTTAAAGTCCAGTAATCAAAATAGAATAGACGTTAAAATGGTATATGAGTTAATTGTACAACTATATTTCCAAATGACAGTAATCAAACATAATTAGTAAAAATCTGTTATCCTCATATAGCAACGACCAGTAATTTCTTCCCAAATTAGTGGAACTAACATAAAAAACACAAAGAAGAAAAAAGGAATTATCAGATAATGTTCCAAACCAGAAATAAAATAAATAAAAACAAACGTCACATGTAGCCAAATTCACTAGGCCCGAAACAGTCAACCAACCACAAGACAGCACTAGATCTCAACGCATTACGTGGCACAGCACCATAGGACGAACAAAAAGATTCCATAAGACCGGAAAGTAGAGGATCCGAACTCTCCCTCACGTAACAAATTTTTACCTGAATGGCGACATTACAAAAGTAGCCTTTTGTACGATGCAAAGAAGACGAGGAAAGTGGGAAAAGAATTTGAAAAGCAAGGGTAATAAGGTAAATTGGCGGAATGAAAATTGAGGAGCTGGTCTCACGCGCGAGCTTGCCGTAAGGTCATAATAAAAATTGAACAGCTGACAGCTCCGAGTCCACGAAGTGTCTTTTTCACTTTTTTGGTCAAAACAGCAAACGCCATTAAACACGATTATTCATTTAATAATAATAATAATTAACTGTTTTATCTTTTTTTTTTCCTCTTAATTTTGTTCTTTTGAATCTTTTTAATTTTCTTTTTGATTTTCGATTTTTTTTTTCTTCCTCTCTCTGTGTTTCAAATTTCCATCGCATCCCGCTCACTCCCACTCCAACTTTACTCATCCACACTGTCTTTTTCTCTCCAGTATTCTTGCATTGATTCAACTTCTTTCTTTTCCGCTCTCTCTCTGGCCCGATCTTCATCTCTAGCTCCAATGGAGGTCTTGGAGCTTGGACGATAGATTCAGGTTTTGTTTCTTGTCTGCATCTTTTTGATTTCACGATTGTTTGGTCGCTGTGGATTAGGGCGGAGTGGACTTGATGATGTTCTTGAAGATTTGGGGATTAATTTGATGTGTTGGGAAGATGGGTTTTCGTGGTTCTGATTTTTAGCTGGAAATTTGGAGGAAGAAATTAAATTTTAAGTTTAAATTATTTCTTAAAAGACTGTGTAATAAGGAAATGGAATTATAGTAATTTGGACATAGTGCAAGAACGCAAATTACACGCATTGAAACTTTGATGTGGAGCCACACATTGTGTAGATCCTTTGTGTTCCTCCCTTTTCTTCTATATTCTTGGAGGCCAAGTACTGCTTGTTACTTTTTGTCTCAAAATTTTCTTATTTTTTAACAGGGAGAAGTTGTGATTATCAATCTTTTAACCTGCTCAATTTTCCAATCGTAAGATTTTTTCATATATTCTCAAAGATTGGTCACTGCATTGTCGAAGAATGTGGTGGAGGTACTTCTGGGGATAGGGAAATTAGAGTCATTTGTCATAATACGTAAGTTCAGATTTGCTACTTTTTTGGATTTTCAAGAATTACAAGATGTTAGAAGCTCATATGGGATCCATTGATCTTATAGATTTGTTAAACCAGCATCTTTTACTTTGAATTTCCTGTTGTTTCTTCCAATCTTTCTGGAGTCTGTAATCTATTACATATCATTCATTGTTGTACCAATGTAATCTCAATCATGGCTACAAATTAATACTACACTTCTGATAGTTCTGCGATATGTGAAAAGTGTGCACTATTTTAATAGAACAGTCCACTTGAAAATTTCAGCTACGATAACAAGTTTTGTAAGAATTTTAAACATTCGTGTAATTGCCAAAGCGAATATAGCTCAACGGTAATTGACATATACCTCCAACCATGAGGTTGAGAGTTCGATCCCCCATCCCACATGTTGTACTAAGAAAAAAAAAAACATTCAAGTGTAATTGTATCATGGAACTCTACTATTTTTCTTCCATCCCATCAATTTTTTGAGACCTTCTTGAAATTTGTTTAAATGGAAATATCTCCGAAGTCCAAAGCTTGAAGTAAAAATAGTAATGTTGTTAAGATCACTACTTGAGTCCTGTTCATTTTACAACAGGTTTCACTCAGATGCATTTTGATGATTTAATCTTCTTTGAGACCTTCAAATATGAGAAAAGAAGAAAATCACACCAGGGCAAATATTGGAGAATTCCCAGGTAGAATTACACGTGCTCGGGCTGCTGCATTTAGTGCATCAGCACAGCTGCCTCCAAAAGTTCCTGCACGACAGCCGGAAAAGAGGATTGCTCGGACTAATCTGAAAAGAGCTGCTTCAGATGAAAATAGCTGCCATTCTACTGCTAAATCATCTCGGCCATGTAAGAGAAGGGCTGTGCTTCAGGATGTCAGCAATATATGCTGTGAATCTTCGTACTCTAAATGTTTTGATGCAGCTAAAATTCAGGTGAACGAGTTTTTTCTTCTCCGCAATATTTGATTATGGATCTCTGTGAGCCTTACAATAGTCTTCCCATGTCTTGAGACTTCTAAAATTGCTTCAATTTTTGATGATTCTTAAATAAATGGCTTGAGCAAGAAGAGATCATGATATAATTGAAGTCTTGTGGGCCCTGCTGTATTTAGTAATTTCCTTTTGCATTTGCATGGCCATTCTTATACGAGGTTTTACTTGCTTTAAGGACATAATAGACAGATATCTGGCAAGGTTATGCAGCTTTGTTGAAAGATTCAGGTTTCTTTATGCTGGATTGGAACTTACATTTTTTTTTTGTTTGACAGGCCAATAATAGTAAACTGACGATCAGAAACCGTCTCAAGAAGTCCAAAGGAGCCCCATCAGTTGGTGTGGCTCAATCCAAGTTCCCTCCTGATCTTAGAACACAAGGCATACAAGAAAAAGTCCAGTCAAAAGCTAAGTTGAAAGTTGAACATTCAAGTAATTCTGAAGACCATGAGATACATCGTCGAGTAGATGGTATAAAGGAGGAGGCCACAAGCAATCTTCGGCTTGATAATTTGAGTTCTCAAAGTCATTCAGAGTCTCAAAATTTTCAAAATAAAGGTCCTTGTTCTTAACTTTTTGTTCTCTAAACTCGAGTACATTCATCACTCTCAGAAGTAGGAATGGTGCAAATTCAGCTTTCTTTGTGCTTTAAACTCTTTCTAACACATCTTCCACTTATTTTTATACATAACCTACATGCATTTCACTAGATATGGAGCCCGATAAGCCGATAATGTTGAAATTTGATTGCAATTTTTTGATAACTTCGAAAGAAAATTAATTAGTTTGGTTAGCTTGAGGTGACTATTCCAGCAAGGTTTGTTTTACTTTTCAAAAACCATGTTACTTTCCCTGCTTCTAGAAGTCAGATTCGGAGCACAAATTTAATGAAGTTGGTATTGGGTTTACTAACAACAAAGCTGGTGTTTGAGCTTTGAGGAAACATTTGAAACAATGTTTGAATCAGTAGTTCAAGCAACAATATGTATTTACATGTTTACTATAGAAACCTATGGCAATTTGACTTTGGAGCTACCTTCCTTCAAGGATAAGGTTAATAAATCACATTGAAGTTCTTACTTTCATGTTTGGATAATGTTGCCACCTCAAACATATAAAACTGCAGAAGACAAACAAAACTGACATATTTGTTTCATGTTTGAAATGGCAACAGCAGAGAAAGAGTTGCTTCTGGGGACAAGAAGCAACCTGGACATTACGGACATTGATTGTAATGACAGAGATGCTCAACTGTGCACCGTCTATGCCAATGATATCTATAACAATTTACGTGTTGCTGAGGTATGTGATGATGATTCTGTCTTTTTAATTTTTAAATATTATTATTATTGTTATTGTCTTCTTTCTTTTTTTTTTGTCGTTTGGCATTTTTGCTCATGGTCAGTGAATGAGGGGAAGAACATAAAGGATCTTGCACTCATAGCATTGACAATGCAGGGAAACAATACTAGTTCAGCATAAACGTGATTATATTGACCATAAGGGGTTCTAATAAGTTGGAATCCAAATTAGAAATGCTAACATCAACAATTTAGTCCTGTGCTCTTCTCTGTCTGATCATTTTGGATTTGCGAGTTCTGATAAAGATTTTAGTTACATCGATGTTACTTCTTATTCTAAGCAGTTTCCACATTATGAGATTTGAAAACAGTACTTAGTACTGACCTACTATGGATGCGAGTAATGAAAATGATCCAGCGTGCAAAAGCTGCATGTGTTGGACAGTTGAAGAGTGTCATGTTTCCTTACATGGATTAGAGCATTAAGATCCCTCAATTGATTTTTCGATTCAGATAATCAACCCTATATGTAATTTAAGTAATCTGTTTGAAATGACAAATGACCATTTTCTATTCTGACTTTTGATTTAAGCAGAAATCTTTTACGTAATCAATCAATCCATGATCGTTGTGCTAGGATGATGCAATCATTGCTTTGTGCCTTTAGGATCTGAAATTTTTGTTTTAAAATAGAAATTTGGATGTACTTGGTATGCAATATTGGTGTCAGGTCATATACTCATTCAACTCCACGATTGATTGATTCAAACTCGACTCCCACTTTTAAGCTTTAAACTAAAATGTTCTATTATCTTAACTGATTGCATTTCCCTCTCTATAGCTAACCAGAAGACCACGTTCCACTTTCATGGAAACAGTGCAGAGTGATATCACCCAAAGCATGCGGGGTATTCTGGTTGATTGGCTTGTAGAGGTTAGTGTCGATTCATGCCTTTTCTTTACCATTTGTCTGTAAAAACAAATCATAGACTAATAGCTGATTTCATGAAGCTCAAGCTGTAGACGATTCTTGTGTTTCTTCTTCCATATTTCTAATATTTGAACGAACTTATTCCTCAAGGAAAGTGCGATGAGCATTCATCTTGAAGCAAAAACACAATTATGATATGGCTGATCAACAAATTATTGTTTTCAGGTATCGGAGGAATACAAGTTAGTACCAGACACACTCTACCTAACTGTATTTTTCATTGATTGGTTTCTCTCTCAAAATCACATTGAGAGACAAAAGCTACAACTGTTGGGTATCACTTGCATGTTAATTGCCTCGTAAGTTTCTCAGACCTCCAGAAAAGTTGTCTATAGACATCATCCAAAAGTCTAAATTGTGTTTTAGGTTAAGTGATAAACCCTTGTAATATGCAACTAACGATGGTATTATGAGAACACAATTAATATCCCCAAACCCTTTTCTAATACAAGTATTTTGCAAATACTATTTAATATGAGAACTGGCAAAAGCTTATCTAAAAAGATTAGTTGAGCTATATTAGTTTGAATATGAAGGAAGTAACAACAGTGGTCCTTGTGCCCTCCAGGAAGTATGAAGAAATTTGTGCACCACGTGTTGAAGACTTTTGTTTCATCACGGACAGCACCTACACGAAAGAGGAGGTATGACATATTTGCCATTCAGAATAGTGGATGGTATATGAGATTCATTGATGTTAATCATGGTTTGATGAGTGGTTGAACGGCTGATTCCAGGAGAAAAAAAGGAACAGCAATGAAAGGAATGAAGTAGGAAGAAATTTACTTCTCTGAGGGATAGAAACATATAAGAGATGGAATGATTTGTTGGTGTTGTCTGCATTTAATAATGAATCGAGTCCTAAAATGAATTTTCCTAGTCCCAACATGGTCATGTTCATGATGCTTCACTTTAGAGCCAGATCATTATTTAAAGTTTGTAGAGCTGACTTAAGAACATTAGATGATAACATATTTCTCAAGAGTAACACATCAATGTCCTCTAGAAATCAGATTAAGGGTGCTGTTTAGGTTTCTCCTTTTGTTCTCTGTTATTAAAAGTTCGGCGAATTTTATTAGGTATTGAAAATGGAAGGTCAAATATTGAAGCATATGGGCTTTCAACTTTCTGCACCAACAGCAAAATCTTTTCTCAGGTATTTTTGCTTTGATGAGCTGCACGAGCAAGGCAGTGCATATACAACTTTGTGTGTACGTAGGCTCCGTGTTCTTATCTGTGCATGTTTCTGATTTTCAGGAGATATGTTCGAGCTGCACAAACGACGTATAAGGTAATAATATGGTCGATTTAATGGGAGCTTCCTTGCTTTTTCTGTCCTATAGGGAAAGCTATAATGCTTAACTTTCATTGATTTCTGCAGACCCCTAGTCTTGAACTCGAGTGCCTTGCCAACTATCTCGCCGAACTAACACTGGTTGACTATGGTTTCTTGAATTTTCTTCCCTCGGTTATAGCTGCATCAGCTGTATTTCTTTCCAAGTGGACATTGGATCAATCAAGTCACCCATGGGTTTGCATGTTCCCTTAACTCATCCTTTATTATTCAAGTCATCCTAAAGTACATGCTAGACTTGCTAACTTCATTCTCTTTTTGACAGAATTCAACACTGGAATACTACACCTCGTATAAAGCATCGGATCTGAAACAAACTGTTCTTGCTCTACAAGATTTACAGTTGAACACCAATGGTTGTCCTCTCAGTTCGATTCGCGTCAAGTATCGGCAAGAAAAGGTAAATGAGTACAAGAATTAGTCTACCAGAAACCATATCTTGTTACTTGGATATGCACATGTCATCTCACAAATTGTTGTCTCAATACCAGTTCAAAGCCGTCGCAACTTTGTCTTCCCCAAAATTACTTGACACGCTATTCTGAGCCACGAGTTAGATGAAGAACAACCATCCACAATTTGCCAACAGTTACATATATACTTGATATAGAAGTTAGAGATTCTCCCTGAACTAGATTCTTTTTGTCATTAACTCTACATGTTTAAGCCTGAAGTCTAATGTTAATCCTTACCCTTTTCCCATTAACATTCTTTCTCTTACATTTTTTGAAGCTTCTGTTTATAGTTCTATGACTTTTGGTCATGTTCCTCCCCAATCGATCTCGTGCCAGGTGGAGATTGGCCGTTGAACATACATTGTGACAGAAGGGAATCTTTGTCTGTAAGACCATGTAGAATTGCCACCCAAGATTTCTTTTATACTTTGGTTCACTTTGCCAAAGTTTGACCTGTTTGTTTTGAGCTTGATGATACAAAACATGAAAATTCTCAATGAATTCTATTACTAGACTTTGTCTCATCCTTTTGCTCAGTTTCAAAGTTTTGGGGATTGTATCATGGAGTTGTTTCAAAGATTGAATTGGGTCTTGTGGATCATGTATTTGTATCCTTTTTATATTTACTTCTCCCATCTTCTCAACGAAAGTTATTTATTTATTTTTTTAGTACAAGATTATTTATTTATCTTTTTAGTACAATAATTTGGGAACATGATGATCAAACCTTCGACTTTAAGAAGAATATATGTCAATTACTGCTGTGTTATGTTCATGTTGGCTCAACGAAGTTATTTAAACATACTTCCACTATATAAGCATAAATTTTGTTTTTTAACTCTGAGGTTTAGGTCCTTCATTTTCTTTTCATTTTTTTAGTACAACAAATAGGGTTGGAAGATTCGGTGATCTCCTGATTAGAGACGTGTGTCAATTACCGTTCCTGCATTTTCTAGTTAATTGACATAGAAGGAGTCAATTGATATGATACTAAATTTTTAGTTAATAAATAATAATCTAATAATTGAAATCCATCAACTCACATTCTATTTTCCTACGGATTAAAACTTCAAATTTATTATGTTGCATTATCAAAAAATAAAAAGTTACTACCATTAAAAAATGATTAATTTAAACTTTAAAAGGGAATAATAAAAAATTTATTCCCAAAGTTTAAATTTAGATACCTTAAAAATATATCTATAATTCAAAGTATAAAAGGCAGAAGGATCAAATTTATGAACCCAAAAAAGATAGAGTTCAGAAATAATAAATTAAAAATATATACCAGAAGGATTCGTACTTTGAGTTCTGTTCTCGTGAATTTTCTTCTAGAAATGGTGGAAAAATTGTATGAGTGGTCGATTATAGGTTCCATGAATTTATGAAAGTGAGCGCAGATTGATCGATGCGAAGAGACAGAGAACCAGAACTCGTTTGTCATCTTCTCATACACTGACAAAGAAAAGGAAAAGAAAGAAGAAAAGGAGGGAGAGAGAGAAAAAAGGTATTCAATTTGATTTGGGTCCAGCCTGAACTGGTCTTTTTGTCTCTGCCATCCAAGAAATTGGTAAATTTCAAACGCAATATTATATTCCCAAAAGTATTCTCTTTTTCTTATATAAATTGGGGAAGAAAAACTAGTTTTTGAGAGTCCAGATTAGCAGCAATTAAAGTTAGGGTTTGCTTAATTATTGAAAAGGGACAAGATGATGATGCAATTTGGTCTCTTCCATCAATTATCTTATCTGTGAGAGAGGCTTTTACCAAAGGGGTCCTCTCCTTTTTCTGGATTTTCGTGGCGGGGGAGGGTGGAAATGGAACTTTCTTCTCGTAGGGGGTCCTCTAGTTGAGAGACCCATGTAAATTTGTAGTTTAAACTTTAAAAGGACGAAATTTGGCAATATTCTGGGGGGGTGAAAAAAGCAGACAAAGCCAAGCCAGAGAAGTCAAAGTAACGCACAAAAACTTCAGAATAGCGTGTATTGTAGCCCAACCTCCCCACTCCACTCCCCAAAGTAGAATAAAAAAGAGGGAGATCAAAAGCCGTTTGGCTTTATTTTGCCTTATCTTTGACGAGAATCATATGTTGTTTATTATTACATTGGCGTTCTTCAAGGCGTGCCAACCCCGTTACCTCAGCTCTCTTTCTCGCCCTCAAAATTGAGTTTTGGGGCATTTTGGGTTGGTGGGTCTTAGGGGAAATAGACAAAAAAGAAGGCTAGTAATCAACTAATCCTCTATATTATATATTTTTTGGGTCTATCGGAAAGTTTCAGAATCTGGGGTTCTTTTGGGGTTTCGAGATCGGTGGGTAAAGTAGTGTAACTTTTAAGTTAAAGGGTCTTTTTGGGGGGTTGAAGCTGTTGGGGTTGGCGATACAGAAATGGGTTCCTATGGAAGACTTGCGAGAAGGGCATTGGAGACCGAGATGCCCATCATGGTTCAGGTATTCGAGCCGTATCTTATTATCATCAGATTACTGTTTCAATCTCTCTCCCAACTTTGGTGTGTGTTTCTATGTCTAAATGTGCGTGCTTGTTTATTTCTTGGTCAGGGTGATTATTATTGAATAATGGGCGGTGAAATTTTTTGCAGATTCAAGAATTATTCCGGGGAGCTAAAAATGCTTTGTCACTTGCTCAGGTTTGGAAGTGTTTCTCAATTACTCGTTTTTTTTGATTTGTTATGCTGATGGGGAAAGTTTCAGAAAACGAGAAAAGAAAAAAAGGTCTGTATTGGCTTCTCAATGCTGCCATGGCGTTGATGGCCTAATTTTTTTATATGGTTTTTTGTGTTGTACAAGGAGAATCTTCTCTTTGTTTATTGCGTTTGGAAACTAACTGAATGCAGATTTTCGTATTGGGGTGAACTTTAACGGAAATGTATTTTTCAAGGTTATTAAAAAATCGTTTCTGGAAACTTTATTCTCCCAGTAATGGATATACATTTTTCTATATATTTAGTAATCTTTGCATAATTCAACTTGTTTCTTTTTGCCTTATTTTCCTTGTGACCAAATAATAAACGAGTAAAATAAGAAACTGACTTTTGTAAATATAAACTTTGATCCAAACTATTATACTGTTACGGTATTGGAACCAAATTATGATTACTAAAAAAGCTGATCAATGTTGATTTTTTTCCCCACTGCTCTTAACAATAACCCTTACAGATGCAGCTTTCATGTTCTGGCTATTTTTTTGCTGGTACTTAAAAGTTTGTCATTTTAACATGCTGTAGGGAGTGGTATATTGGAAACCTCCAAAACAGGCACTGAGTAAGGTGACAGAACTTGTTTGGGAGCCTTCAATCAGTCGCTATGGGGCTGATGAAGGTATCCCTGAGCTGAGAGAGGCACTGACAAGAAAGGTATATATTTTTTTATCAAATTTAATATACTTGAGTTCTCTTTTAGTATGGCTTTCCAGTGGTCTATGATTCAGAGACCAATCTCTTAGTTTGGTGGCAATACTTGTAAAAGTTGATTGAATTCATAGAAGACTACCAATGAAAGAGAACAAAGAGCTGAATCTAGGATTTTTTATTCATAATCCTGTGCTTAATCATTGTGCCTATTGAATTGATCTTTCTAGTTTTTACTGAATTGAAAACAGTTAATTGCTTTGTGTTGAAATTTTTAACCCTTTGCAGGGATTTATTTTCAATCCATTTATATTTTCAATGGTTCACATTATCAGTACTAATGTCAACATATTGAACTTCCTTGTGATATTATACAAGGAATATACGAAAAGAGGGCTCAAACTTCATACCCTTTTCATTTCTAAAGCTGACCATTGTTTTATCAAGTAAAAATGATCATTATCGTTCAAACTTCTTACCATTTCGATTTCCCAATTGACTGAAATGCATAACATACAGTAACGTTATTTCACATCTCTCAGTCAAAGTTCATACCCTTTTAGTTTCTAGTCTTAGAAATTTTCGCTTGCTTTATAAATTATAACTCTCAATGCAACTGTTGCCTATCACTGTTATCTGTGAGTTTGCTATATGAAGTCATTTTTCTTTTCTCTCTTTTTCCAGATGGCTTCTTCATCATTTGACAATTTATATTTGTACTCACCTTACTGGATTTTTCTCTGCGACTAACCGTTTTATTTAGTTTCTGACATGTTGAAAAGATTAGATTCTTGTCCATCTTCCATAACAATATCTTTCTTATTCTTTAACATGACAGTAGTGTTCTTTTTTTGAAATTGGATCCTGGAAAGTCGTTGGGAAACTTTATCATTTTGTTTGTTTTGCAGTTGCGTCAGGAAAATAAACTGTACAAGTCTTCTGTGATGGTTACAGCCGGTGCAAATCAGGTGAGAATTGGGCAGATCATTTGAAATTGTTCATAATTATCAATCAAAACTGGCAAGGATGCCCAGCTTAAGTTGAGCATCACTTATCTGTTAGACATGATGCCATTCATTGACTTAAAGGGTACCGAGGAAAGGGCTCAGTTGACGAACATAAATGCAACATTGCATTGCATGCATATATTAGCTTTTCTTTGTTCGGTCATTCTCTCATATTAACTACTTTTATCCATTTTATTCTTATAGTAAAATATAGTAACAATTTTACTGCAGGCATTCGTGAATATTGTTCTTACATTATGTGATGCTGGGGACTCGGTGGTTATGTTTGCTCCGTATTATTTCAATGCTTACATGTCTTTCCAAATGACTGGTGTCACTGATATATTGGTAGGTCCTGGTGACCCGAAAACACTCTATCCAGATGCAGGTAAGCATTTACTGTCGATTACATATATGTAACCTAAAATTGCAGTCACTATGTCTTTAGCCCTTTCTGTGTGGCCCTTGATTTTGTCCTTACATTGCTCCTGTTATTAAAATATAAGTATAGATAGATATAATGGTGAAAAAAGAAATTGCAGCTTCTGCTCTTATGGTGAAAAAGGAGATCTATAGTTCAGCTGTTAACCTGGTTGATGTTATTTTAATTTTTTTTTTAAGATGAGAAACAATCTGATTGAACCATACAAGGGGAAGCTTTACAAAAAAGGTCTTAGCTGATGTAGTGTTGTGTGTTAGTTACAAAATAGTTCAGACCTAATACAAGAACAAAATAAACAAAAACAGTGACTTCCCACAGCTGGGCAAAATTTCTAAGGGTATCATTGAAGATTCTTCTAATTGGGATGTGATAATTAAGACCATAGTTCTTGCTTGATCAGAATTCTCTAAGAGCATAGCTCTGTTATGCTCATACATTCAATATATGTTTATTATTTACATCTATCATGTATTGAAATTGGTTATTAACTATACAGGGCAATACTATTTTTTCTCTTTAAGTTACTCATAAACTAGTTGTGTTTCTACGCGTGAATGAAGTCTTGTGATAAAACAGTCTTTTGCGGTGGTTCATCTGCTCTTCGACTCATTGTTCCTTATCATATTTCGGTATTCAGATTGGTTGGAAAAAACACTATCAGAAAACAAGCCGACCCCTAAGCTTGTTACTGTTGTTAATCCTGGGAATCCATCTGGTACCTATATTCCGGAACCTCTTCTCAAGGTCTTGATTCTCTGTCTATCTATCTGATGCCTTAAATTTTCCTTTCCATTTCTTTTTCTTTTGAATTTATTCTTTTTAATGTTACCTGAATCGACTTTTTGCTTCTTCCTCGGGGCCGTGCATAGAGGTTAGCAGATATTTGCAGGAATGCTGGTTCTTGGCTGGTTGTGGATAACACCTATGAGTAAGTCCATTGATGTTTGCCGTTCTTTCTAAACTCATGAATACATTATCATCTTTAGAAACATTTATAGAGACTCATTGCGGAGGCCCGAAGAAAACAACAAAACGAACTCATTGGTAATCGGGATGGACTGTGTATTATATTTTTGTTGCAACAAAGATAATAAATGTCTTTCCTTGTTGAGGAGTAACCAGTTTGCAATTGCCTTAAGCTCTGAATGAGAGTTTTTTGAGATACTTGAAATCTGTTGTTGCAGGTACTTCATGTTTGATGGCTTAAAACACTCATGTGTCGAAGGCGATCATATTGTCAATATATTCTCCTTCTCAAAAGCCTATGGAATGATGGGTTGGAGGGTCGGTTACGTAAGTTACGCTCTCATCTCGATCTGTTTATCGTAAATTTTCGTGTAGTCGTAACTGATGATTGAAATCACCAAGCAGATCGCATACCCTACAGAAGTTGAAGGATTTGCAGCTCAACTTCTAAAAGTTCAGGATAACATTCCCATCTGTGCTTCTATATTATCACAGCATCTGGCTCTCAACTCTCTGAAGCTGGGCCCAGAGTGGGTCACCGAGCAAGTAAAAGACCTTGTGAAGTGCAGAGATATCATCCTACAAGCACTCTCTCCTCTTGGAGAAGGCGCTGTTAAGGGAGGGGAGGGTGCCATATACCTCTGGGCCAAGCTTCCCGACAAGTTCATCGACGACCACCAAGTTGTTCGGTGGCTCGCCAACAGGCACGGGATAGTTGTGATCCCTGGAACCGCTTGCGGGTCGCCGGGAAATGTCAGGATCTCGTTCGGAGGTCTGGTGGAGGACGAATGCCGAGCTGCGGCAGAGAGGTTGAGGAAAGGTTTGGAAGAGTTGGTCAGTGATGGAATGGTACAGTGACTGCAAGTTCCAATCATAGTTGATTCAACAGCTGAAATTTGAAAGCCCTGCTGCCAAGTTAAGCCAACAGATTAACTTGCTGCATTTGAATAAATCTTCAGTATTTATGACCTTATTGGCATATGAAGGAAAAAAAAAAGAAGATTAGAATTACGTAATAACATTTATTGAAATGTGACACAAAAACATCAATCACATCCTCATGACTGTTTTTGTTTATATTAAAGTTGTCTTCTGTTAACAGCTTCCATTAACCTCCATTACTCTTTCAACTTTAGTTACCATGAAATTTGTATTTTAGTTATTATGTTTAAACTATCTTTACTCAATAAATGACTGATAATCAACAAGCAACTGAAGTAGAAATTATTAATCAATATTTAGAGAACAGTGGCTAAATGTAGGCTTTCAAAAATGTTTTTAAATACTATTTTGGTTTCTATACTTTTCCCTTTTGATTCATTTGAGTTTCCACACTTTTAAAATACATCCATTTTGGTAAATGTTATTTTAGTTCATTCATTTTCATTTTTATCTTATTTATTTCTATCATAATTTTTACATTTTATTCACTAAATTTATTGAAATGTATCTATAAATTTTTATAAAAGAATTTTGATTGTATATAAAAATTGTGTTAAAATTATACCAATAAAATCAAATCGTTTAAAGTATTGAAAAAAGAGATGGTGGAGTGGCAATGAGTAGAAGTGGGCCCAGTTTGGCCCAACTTTTAGCTTCAAATTTAATGGGCCCATTTCGGCCCAACTTTTAACTTCAAAATTATTGGGCGGGGCGGCCCTACAATCCTAACGGTTCTAACAAACCTTTTCCTTTCCAAAGGGAAAGCGAATATGGACCTAACTTGCATAAGAAGCCCAAGGTTATTTCAGTAATTTAGTCTTCTTCTCCGATTTCTCGCTTCTGGCTTCTGAACGCTTATGCGTCTTCGTCATAGTTCGCTGCATCGTCGACGTGCTAGAGAGAGATAGAAGAGAGAGAGAGAGAGAGGCTGTGGAGGTTGATTTCTTCTTCATCTTCATCAGTTCTATGCTTTAAGGTGTTGCCAATTCGAGTGAGAGAGAGAGATAATGGGAGGTTCTACACTGGTGGGCTTCCAGGACCATCTGAAATTGGCGAGGGAATACGCTCTTGAGGGGCTCTATGACACTTCTATAATCTTCTTTGACGGTGTTATAGCTCAGATCAACAAGTACTCTCTCTTTACCAATTTCATCTCTACAACTTCAGTTTTTGTTACCTGATTTTCATTTGAGCTTGCTTTTCGATCTTGATCTTTATTTGCGTTTTGAATTAGCTGCTTCTTCGTACTGAACTAGTTTTTATTTTCTTCATGTTTACGAAGTCAGATTGATGTGATTTGACTTGTTCAGTTTGCTGCCTGTGTTGTGTTATTGTGAAAAAGCACCCAAAAAGGAAGAATAAAGTAAGGAGATATGATATCGTCTCTTCTTATTTTGGATAATCGAAAACCCAATTTCCCGCTCTGGATTGTTCTAATATTAATTTAAATTTATTGTGAAAATTAGGGAGTAGAGGAATGGGATAGGATAATCATCCCAGCTTTTGTAGTTCTCTATAAGGATAGTTAAGTTAGACTTAATGTCTTGGTATGACCATAAATTGTACTAGTGGATCATATTTTGGGGTTGTTGATTAACGATCATGCTATGCCATGTTACCTGCCGCCAATTTAGTTTCTAGTTTCCGTGAAAGATGTAGAAGCAAAAGAGATCTAAAAATTTGATGATTGGTAGTACTCCAGCGCTGGGAAGATCAATCCTGCCGAATACCTCTTGTTTAAATCTTTGACGTTTTTAACTATTCTTTTCTTCAGTATGGTTCTGACTCAAGTTCCACTTATTTATCAATTTTAGGCATCTTAGTTCAGTAGATGACCCTTTAATGCGTGCAAAATGGATGAATGTGAAAAAAGCCCTCTCTGAGGAAATAGAAGTTGTAAAGCAGTTAGATGCAGAGAGGAAGGCTTTTAAGGAAATACCCATGGGTCGGCGTCCAGCTTCTCCTCCAATTCATGGTAAATCATCATTTGTTTTTCAACCATTAGATGAGTACCCAACTTCTTCAGCCCCTCCAATGGATGATCCTGATGTATGGAGGCCTCCAAGTAGGGACTCTACAGGTAGAAGGCCTGCAAGGGCTGGTCAAGTTGGTATGAGGAAATCACCACAAGATGGGGCTTGGGCTCGTGGTTCCACCAGACCAAATACTACTGCGCGTGGTGCGAAGGCTGGTGGTTCAAGTCGTGCTAACACTGGCGTCCGTGGATCAACTACTGGAAAGAAAGGCTCTAGTACGAGTGGTAAATCTAGCAAGACAGATTCTGCAGTAAGTTCTGTAAGCCCAAATTTATTTCTCAATTCCTTTTTCCTCCACGAATAACTTGGCTCTTATGCATGTGTGACACTCTCCATTTGTTGCATGAGACATATGATCCAACCTTCTTTTGAGTTGATTGCTCTGCGTGCGAAATTCCTTTCCTTGATGATGTTTTACCTTCTTCTCTTGTGCGTACAAGTTCAGCCATTTCTGTCCTTTCACCTGTCTATAGTTTGTTTTCTCACATTTAAAGAGATTTAGGGCCAGTTTGGGAGTTTTTTTAACGTATTTTGGTTTGCGATTAATAACTTCAGTGCACAATAGCGCTAACCTTTAGGCATCAGATCACAGTTTGAAACCATTTTTGAAAACCAAAATTGAAAACTATTTTAAGAATTGGTTGCCAAACAAGCCCTTAATCTCAATTTTCTTTTTATCTATTGTCTCCCATTGCCTTTCTCTCTCTCTCTCTTTATTTATTTTATTATTATTTTTAATGAAACCCACATTCATTTTACAGAAATCATAAATCAGAAATCACTTTTATTTATATTTGTTTTCATGAATTATTAATCTGTTGTAATTTCTATCTCAAGGTTGTGTAGTGTAGTATATATTATGTTTCTATGGATCATTTAACTAATGAATGATATTGTTAGAATGGTGATGATGATGGGAAGTCTAAGAAGGGACAGTATGAGGGACCTGATCCTGATCTTGCTGCTATGCTTGAAAGAGATGTGTTGGAAACCAGTCCAGGAGTGAGATGGGATGATGTTGCAGGCCTGAGTGAAGCAAAAAGACTTCTGGAGGAAGCTGTTGTTCTTCCCCTGTGGATGCCAGAATATTTTCAGGTATTATTGAATTAGTGAACTAGACAAGTCTGTAAATTAGTTGAGTGGAACGATACCAAAACAATCATCAATCTGTACTGATTTTCTAGCCATGATGATTAGTATGCTTGGTTATATCTATCCCTGTTGTTGATGAGTGCTTTAGCCTTCAACGATGGAAATCAATAATATTTTCTAGGGGCTGCCCATTCAACCTGACCTTTAGGAGGGTTTATTATGTTACTGCCAGATGATTGATAGAGAAATTGAAACTTTACAGAATTTGAACCTAAAATTTCTTTTAGCTTTAGATTTTATATCTGCAGAGGGCATTTGTTTGACTTAATATTTTTCTTTGTCCCATGCTGGCCATAGCGTGCTTGTTACCTGTGTCCATATGTCATACATATAAATCTTGATTCTTGCTGCTTCTTCCTTGCAGGGAATAAGGAGACCGTGGAAAGGAGTCCTAATGTTTGGCCCTCCTGGGACTGGGAAGACATTACTTGCTAAAGCTGTGGCAACTGAGTGTGGCACAACATTTTTTAATGTTTCTTCTGCTACCTTGGCTTCAAAATGGCGTGGGGAGAGTGAGCGCATGGTCCGGTGCTTGTTTGATCTTGCAAGAGCTTATGCACCGAGTACTATCTTCATCGATGAAATTGACTCTCTATGCAATGCTCGTGGGTAAGATTCTTCATGTAATTAGATGATTTTGCTTACGATCAACGTTCTTTAACTCTCTTCCTCTTATTTTTATTGAGAAAAATAACTGCATCAAGGTGTTTTCTTCAGGGCTTCAGGTGAGCATGAATCATCCAGAAGAGTGAAGTCAGAGCTTTTAGTTCAGGTAGATGGTGTAAATAATAGTTCCTCAGGCGAAGATGGTAGCCGTAAGATAGTGATGGTTTTGGCTGCTACAAACTTCCCGTGGGACATTGATGAGGCACTTAGGTTGGTCCTGTTAACATGCTTATACTTCATTCTTCAAGTAAATTTGATTGTTTATGTGGTGGACGCATTGGTGCGGCAGTTAGTCTTACTGGGGTTGCTAGTTGATTTCTTCTTTTAATTGGTGCTACAATTTCAGGAGGAGGCTTGAAAAGCGTATTTATATCCCTCTTCCTAATTTTGAGAGCAGGAAGGAGCTTATCAGGATAAATCTAAAAACTGTTGAGGTAAATCAAGTGACTATTCGGTCTTAGTATAAGTAATGCTGTTGGAATGACTGTACTTGCACAGGGATTTATATTAATTCTCATCTCCTTTGAAAATTTTAGGTGCTTAATTCTTGCACCAATTGCCTTAAGTGGGTTATCATATTTGTTCTCTTATCTTCGTTTGTGTTTTAATTACTTCTTTTGGTTTAGTTATCATTGTTCGTAAAGGAATCCTATACTTGTTCGTTGGTTTGAACTTACCTTGCAAAACTATTTTCTTAGTTTGTGAATAAACTTATTTGATGCAAAATAATTATGATTGTCTATATTAGGTGGCTCCTGATGTGAATATTGATGACGTTGCTCGCCGGACAGAAGGATATAGTGGGGACGATCTCACAAATGTTTGCAGAGATGCTTCCTTGAATGGAATGAGACGGAAAATTGCTGGAAAAACTCGCGATGAGATCAAGAATATGCCCAAGGATGAGATTTCAAAGGACCCTGTTGCCATGTGTGACTTTGAAGAAGCATTGAAGAAGGTACAACGAAGTGTTTCTGCTGCTGATATCGAACGGCATGAGAAGTGGTTTTCAGACTTTGGGTCTGCATAAATTACAAGCTACTATCAAGATCAGTAACGGATTCACAACTTCTCCAGTTGATTAAGTGATTTGTTTATTAATTTTGTCTTTATGATAATCATTGTGTTGTCGTGGTGTGATTAATAGTAATCCAAGTGTCTGCAGCGTCCTATACAGCTTGTGAAACTTTGGTTCCTTTGACCACTGACTCTATGTAACTTATTGATTACGAAGAAGTTGAAGTTTCGATTGAGATTCAATTCTGCACCTATGAAATGTATAATTTTCTTTCGAGACTCATCGCTATGAAATTAATATCGGGAAAATTTTCGGAAACTAGCTTTGATTTATAGTACTTGCATTTGCTGGTTTGTTTTTTTTTTTTTT